CGGAAAAATTACTGTTTTGTGAAATATTTTGTGTTGTGATCGGCGAAATAACAATGCCTTTCAAGTGTTGTGTTCCCATTTGCCGGGGGAATTATGTGGGTGGTTCAAAAGTTCATGCTTTTAGTTTCCCGTTGGACGAGGAGCTATCGAATATGTGGGTATATGCAATTCACCGCGAGGATTCTACTCCATCTAAGTTCAGTAGTGAACAGAGCTTAATTTATAATGATGAATTAATAATGAAAGACAATTACTCTCTCATAAAAAGTATAAGTAGAGGAAAAATAGAAAAGCTTCGATTGTGCAGTTAGTTTTGTATTCGTATATTATAGTCAACAAAATCATCTCTGAATTCGAGGAAATTTTCTTGAATGTTCATAATAAGCGGGCATTTTTAATTCTCATTCTCAAATTTCTTTCTGAAAACGGTCATTTGCCTCGTGGCAATGAATACAGAATTCATTCCAATGATCAAATTGCAACTATCATATTAACATGAACTACTTAAAAAGGTAAAACTGCATTTATCATGATATTTATCATGAAGATATTTGACAAAAAAGTTCAAAATTTCACCTTCTTTTTCAATACAATAAATAAATTCATTTTATGTTGTCTAGACATCTAGACTCGAGTTGAACAACCCATGGTCATTACATGCAACTGAATATTGAATAACCTAGAAACTCTGTGGCATGATGTTTTTTGGAGTGCTAGCACGGTTTTACGGTTTTTATAGATAATCATATCTCCACGCGAGCAAGTTTATCACGTTATCAGCGCAACGTTATTAGCGAAATCCATTTCAAAAATTACCACAAGTATTGCGTAGGTGGCGTTTAGTCTATTTATACCAACCCATTGCGGATATGGAAACGAAAGTCATCAAAGAGATTAGAGATTGGATTCGATCCTGGGATTTTTTCCATCGAATTATTGCGAAAAATCATATTTGACCTTGTCAATATAAACTCCTCCACTCGCTACATCAATTTCCGATTGCCAAAGCTAATTCCCCATTTCCTCTCTCAGTCTTCTGGGTTTAAAAGCTTCGGAATAAATTACTACATGACAGTGAATACCTGTCGATATTTTTAAAGGGCTCTTATTGAAAGAGAACATTCCGAACTGGGAGTTTCAAATTGCTCCAAACTTGAACAAGGGTGAATTGAAATTCGATGTGAATATTGCGAGGAGGTTTTGTTGGGATCAAAATGAGACTTTTTCTTGCCCTGAAATGCACCTCCCTCAAGCCATTGCGTAGGTTGATTAAACCTGAAATTATAGTGCACGCCTCTGGAAAAGCAGTCTCGAATGCGTTCTGACATACGATCACCTCCGTATGCAAGATGCAAGCGTTAAACTTATTGCGTACTCACGGGGCGCCTTCGCAATTGGGGTCTTGAAGGTTATATAGGGAGTCACATTTTCAGTCACACCAGTCGGTTAGGTCTATTTGGAAATGCAAATTCACCGAATTTTGCCGTGGGTATAGACCTGGAGGCTTGAAGGTTTTCATGTCCAAACATTTGTAGAAACTAAAGAAGTGTTGAAACTGAACAATCGTTACTATCCTCATAATTGAAGTAGAATAAATAATCAGGAAGATTGGGTTTCACTAAAAAAGGTCTGTCAGATGGTCTATAAATTGATTCGATTATCCACTCCATGGCTTCCTGTGATTGAAATCACATCAGAATCAGAAAACGATGAAAGGCATCATTTTATTTTCTATTCTAGCAACCTGTTGATAGTTTTTACAGGTTCTTATTGTGAAAGAGACTTCCGAACTGATGGGAGTTCGGTGTTTTGAATTGCCTTAAACTTGGGTAATGAAATAGATAGTAGGGGAGTTTTGCCTGACATGGATTAGGATTATTTAAAGATACTAGGCTTATTCGAAAATTCGCACCTTGAATAGAACTCGAGCGATTTTATTGAAATGAATAGGGAACAAAAGTCAAGTCAACAGAGTATTCAAAAATGTTTCCATCAATGAATAGATATATAACAAGAGACGACCCATATCGAAACGCATAAATCAAATATTCATAATATTACGATTGGAAAAAATATTGTCCAGTTTTCCTGCTATTTAGTTGTGAATTGGATATCAATTATTTTTTGATATAGATATATTTTTTTTCTGTTATGTTGATATTTTTTATACATCATCGTTATTTGTTTTTGACAAGGACTCGAAATAATCAGGCCATGTCAACATACTATAAGCTACACAGCTGAAAGGGCCTATACAACTGAAGAGATGCGAGAGCTAAGCTTCCCGCCAGACCGAAATTTGGATGAGCATATGCGGCGTTGTCATGGTTACAAGTGGAAGTTACTTCTACCCTGCTGTGATCACTATTCACTACACTCCTTCTGGCCAATTATCCACTTTGGAATCCAAATAAGTTAGCTGAAATATTGTTATTTTCAGTTTCAATAATAAATTTGATGAGATAATGATCTGTGTCGCCATATAATATGCCTCAGGAATACTATTACCATTTCTGCGAATGGTGCAAGTTTTGTTTTCATGAAGGTCGAAGGGTGATGTGTGAAATCAACGATATATTTCTTCCATGTATGAACATAAACAATCTTTTTATTTGTACATGAAAGATAGATACATAGCTGAATGTAATGGTATGGAAGTTTTATTGTAATGTCAAACAATTTAGAATCAAGGAAATTTCTTGATTCGAAATGTTCTGCCAAATATCAATATCTGAAAACATTTCAAAATGTTTTTTCCATCAAGAACAATTTTTCAATGTATTCTACGGAGACTAATACACAACTAAGAAAATTTCTGACGGTTTCGATGGTGACAGTTGCCAGAGTATAGGAATGTGTTGATTGAAAGCGAGGTAGATATTTTTTGGGCAACGGGAAGTGAGAAGTGCTCACTTCTTCTTTGAGAATGTAACATTTTTCCAGCTCAGTTCGGAAAATATCACATCGTTGTTGTCTTTTCTCCTATGAAAATCTTGCTAAATATGGTTTTGGTGAATGCAGATGATCATCACCATAGCAGCACTATAATGTCTAACAGCTATTTGACATTTTGATATTTGAGAATTTGGTTGCTTTTTCGCAATAAACTATCGAAAGCAGCAGCGATAGTGAATTTGCAAAAGTGCATACGAAATTTCCAATATATATCTGTTAGAGCAGATATGGGTATTCTGTTCAAATTTCAGTATTTGATACAAGTAAGAATAAAAATGTTCGAAATTTCATTCAACAAATGAATATGAAATGGAAATGTGTCTCATTGATTTTCCATTCAACATAATTGCCAAAAAAATAGTGTACGTAGCACGTCCTGAAACAGTTCTTTTGTACTCGCAGGCTTCTAGGAATCGTCTATGGCTCGGCCTAGAATTTTGTCAACTCGTCCATAAAGACAGTATTTTTCGGACTTGTCACGTAAATCACTATAATACCGCAGTATCTACTAACGTGATTTCTACCCCTTTCAAAACGTCGAATTGGGCGAATTAAGTTCTGCCACCAAAATATTAAAATACTCCATCACCAGAAGTTCAAAATGCTCCTTCACCAAAACTTCAATTGTTCGTTTTCATTCCGTCGAATAACTTACAATTCTATTATACATCTAGAGACGTCTTCAAATGGTACATCAAGTGATATAATGAGTTTAGTTCAGGTTTCAATGATACACAGTATGTTTCGAAATTGAGATTCTTATCTAGTTCAATACCCAGAAATTTCACTGCATGGCGGTAGTAGAAAAATAGAAAAAGAAACTAAAAAAACAAGACGAACTAATTAATATACAACATTGAAAATATGAGCACCTTCGTCATCAGTATTTTCAACACACTTTCATTTTTATTTCTACCCCCATAACTAAAATGGCATTCAGCGTATGGATATACGCTAAATGATCGATTCAGAACGGATTGACGATCTGTGATTTATTCAAAAAATTAAACACATTACCATGACAACACAATTTCTGAAACACATTACCATGGCAACACAGTTTGAATACACCTTCGATTGTTCGACTCCTGTCCAGCCTGTCAATTCTAGGAACTGTCAACTGTCACTTTATAATTTGTTGCAATCGGCCACAATTAGATTTCTTCAAACATTTTCTGTTTGTATCAGAATTCCCCATTGAAAATCTATGCAAAATGTAGACGAAAGTGAAATCAAAGATAAAGTTGTAGGTACTTGCATATTCTCAAGAACTCTGTTTGAAAATAATTGTCGCATCCATGTGGGCAATTCAATCTTTTGTAAGCATGACGATAAACGTTAAACACAATATTTGTGTGAGAAAAAATTATGCAAAGTTATCTTCATCCCTGAAACGCACATCAGAATATGAATACAAACCTGAGAAATCTAAAAATTTTGACACCCTAACGAATCGAAGAGATGTTATCTACTGCGTCAGATGGAATCTTATTCACAAAGGTAAGTAAACAAGCCATTTTCATGTATTTAATGGACAGCACACATACATAATATAACCAATATATAACTTATACGTGTCTGGTTGGTTGCACGTAGTTGAATAGTATAATGTATTGTGTTCCCAATTCCTATTCCATTCGAATTATTTTGTAGGCTAGGAAATAGGTTGATCTAATTTTCGAAATAATGGGATCATGTATGAGAGAGGAAATATGATCGCGTTCTTCTAGACACTCGCTCCGCTCTTCTGTAGTCGTGCTTAAAATACTCGTTACTGAATGGACGTTTATAACACTTGTTACATGATATACTATGATTATCTGTTTTCTAAAAATTAAGCGTGTTTTATATTTTCAACTATCAATTTATCATCTTTGGAAATTGGATAAATGTCTTTGGTTCCTAGAATAGACGTATATTAATCAAGATAACGAATTTTCAGCCATCCAACATCAAAGGCGGCATCAATGCTTTCGCATCTGTATCTGTATTTATTTCGGTGATCTGAAGCTACGATTACCCTATTATGATATTATGATGTTTACCTTCTAGACCAGCAAATGCATCAGAATCAATCGTATCGATGTTGTTGCCGTCCATCTCGAGAGATGTCAGCAATGTCAGATGGGAGAACACTCTTGGTGGGACCTGCCTTATCTTGTTGTGGGCTAGTCCTAGCGAATCGAGATTTTTCAGACCTACAAGAATATGTTGAACTTTTATTATTATTATTATTATTATTATTATTATTATTATTATTATTATTATTATTATTATTATTATTATTATTATTATTATTATTATATGAAATTTTTCCGTCGACCTCGTATTAACGAGTAAGTTTAATGTTCATGAAATCGTTCATTAATGATAAATTTGTCTATTAATGCACGATTGTTTCATAGGCAACCAAACATACACCATGTGCATTCAATGTTTAAGCTATAACTCACGGAATCTGCATTTGAATCGAAAATATGGATTTCATCGAAGATTTTCCGTTAACGGGTTCGTCTTTCCAAGTTTCTGAAACGATTTTAATCCCTGTTTTCTAACACAAGGAATTTATTTTCTATATTGATCATTACGACAAATGTCATATGTCACTAATTTCAGTAAAAAAGCTACTGGGTGAATTTTACTCGCTTCGCTCGCATGTTAAAATATCTCGATCATTAATCGCCCTCATTAATACACTAGTTGGTTAAATAACTATTAATATGTAGCTTTGTGATAACATGATCACCATTTGAAATCTCGAAATATCAACAATACGTTATGATCATACCTACTCAATTTCATTGTTTTGATATTATGGTATATAGTATATTATGTCACAATTAGCTTCAGCAACCCTCGCTTCGCTCGTGCAGCATGGAAGCCAAAGGTTGCTTAAACGTTTTCTGCATGTGTGACACACAACTGTTTTTGGTCCACCAGAAACACATTGAAAAAACGGAAAATACAACAAAAATCTTTGGTTTCATAATTATTGCTCTCATGGTAACATCACTTTCGGTCACATTTTCAGGGTTGACATGATTCATTTTCGTATTTGGTAGGCGAATAAGTATACTCGGATGATTCACATGAGTTTTGTAGAAATACCTACATATACCATCTCGGATGGGAAATAAAATACTAATTCGGTTGAATGATAAAGAAGTGGCGCATTCAGTCATACCTTCGAATATTTCCTAAATTGTTTTTAAACGTTGGGAGAAGTCCATTGTAGCTCAAAGTGCAGTTACAATGGACTACTAGTATTTGTTGAGCCGCATCGTCGTCAACCATACTTTGATTTCTTTCTGTTTGGGAGTTAGGAAACCTCTTTTATGAATACCCAAATATGGAACATAACCTTTTCATTTCCATGACTTCTTAGCATAGGCTGAAGATGGACATTGCATATGTTCGAAACATGTTCCTTATTTGATGTTCTCAAACTGAAAAGTCGTGGGGATGATTTTGAGCTTCTCTCATTGAATATGGAAAAAATTGTTTCTATTTGTGCAGTTATATCTGAGAAAGTGAATTTTTGGAAAAAAATTTGTTGTCTGCTTCATTATTAGAGTTCTCTACGCGAAGTTTTCTATTCGTGTAACCATCATCAACTTTTTTTCCCAAATGTGGTCCTAATTATGTTTCCACAAATTCTGAAAGAATTTTACATTCTGAATGCAACCATGTATTATACAAGGTGGTTTGAATATGTATCGACCTAGTTTTGGACATCACCAATGGTTTTCAGAAAATCCATCAGGAAGGAAATACCATCAATTTCACATATTTCTCATCATTTTGTTTCGAACATTGATGTACCTATTTATTCAATACTGATATTCAGAAAAAAACTCACTAAACTATTCAATGCAGCGTTTCGGATATTATTCCTTGTAAATGGATTCTTACACGTATCACTCTGATAACTGATGAAATCTGATAAGAATATCATTCATAAGAAATGTTTGAAATTATAACCATAATTTTCTGAACAAATATATTCTCTTGATACAGTTGCTTCTATGATATTTCTGAGTAGGTATATCTGCGGGGTATTACTGTTGCATGCTTCGAAAACAATGTCCCTTAGTTTTCCTTCATTATCAAAATTAACAAAGTTTTTAACAGATCCCCAAAGAAAAAACCCAGCGGTGTCCAATCAAGCGATCGCGCCAGCCAAGGGACTGTAGAATAAGTTTGGTTATCAGTAGTAATATCCCTAGGACATTGATAATAAACGAGATAATTTTAGGACAATCGGAAGCTCGTTCCTTGGTTATCACATAACAGGAATATGTCCGGAATAATAGCAGCAAATAAATCGCTGTACCGTGGATTCGGCTCAGGCTGAGGAGTGGCACAGGTTTCTGAAATATCCCTTTCGATTGGTATCGGATGGCATAATTCTTATCTCGTTATCGAATCGCGATTTCGAGTGCAAATTTCCGCACAGGAAAGTGCAATTCCTCAATCAATTTGCGGCCGGCTCTTGGTCTATAAGTATTCCTACAAAACCTATGTGAAATTTTTGAATCAACTTGCTCACACTCTATATGCTCGTTATTCAATATTCATGTCCATACAGGGTGATCAAGTTTCAATAACTGATAGTCCAGAAATCCATAGAACTAGATGAAATAACCATTATCTGTTTCATTGAATATGAAAAATGCTCTAACTAAAACACGCATATATTTCAACGAGAACGGTCAAACGTAGTAAGTGATTATGATACATTTTTACAAATCTCAACACTCATGAACTCACCTTCGAAGTCTCCTTCCCTGATTTCGCTGAGCCGGTTTTCTTGCATTTCCAACTTTTTCAGAGTTTCGAGGAGCGCCAATGATTTTTGTGGCACTGACGTCAATCCATTGCCTCCTAGATTCAGTCGTTTCAGCTTTCTGCAAAATCATATTAAAATGGAAACAAAACACATAAAAGGCTCATAATCTGTTCAAATAAATTATTGAAGTTCTTCATGATTATTTCCTTTCAATATCTCATCATTGAAAAATATTGACAATGAAGATTTTCTGTAGTAATAGCGAGATTCGCTTCATTGAAGAGGGGTTTCTTTTGATTATCGTGCATGACGTTTTCTCGCAAATTCTCTTCCACTCTGAAGGAGACTTTGTCATCAGTTTTTATACACGATTGAATTACGATCAGCATTCTCCATGCAACAAAAATGTGATTTAGTTGACTTGATTAGTGATATTCTTTCAATCCGAACTAACTGAAATATTCCACTATAAAACTGCGATCTTTCGAAAGACTTTTATCAGATTGAATGCATGTTAACTGATTCAGTTCAGTTCAAGTGAATCATGTCAGTTAGCGAACTAAGGAAAGAATATCACAATTGTCAGCAAGACAAACTGGTTGCTGATAAGTATTTTGAAACGAGAATCCATCAACCACCATCATTCAAATTTCAATAAACCTATCCTACAAGTAATAATTCCTGATGAGCATCTTTGTATATAATTCAGAACATCATGGTTATAATTGATATATCTGAGATGCAGAATAATATAATCGAATCCAGAAATAATCTATCTATGAGAACAGATATTAACCGGAAATAATCACTCCTTTCTCATGTATTTCTATCGCAGACGTGGTATAAAACATGGAGATCTATAGTACTGTTATCTCCATCTAGTGACATAGTTCAAAGGTAGGTCCCGCCATACGTAGGACGCTGCCATTTATATTCAACACGTGGAGACCCCTACGTTTTCAAGTTACAGAGTGGTAGTACAAGTAAACCACTCTGCCCTGTATATCTAATTTTCCCATATAAATGTGGCAACTTTAAATGGAAAACCGACCTGCTGCCTGAGGAAGATTCCTCAGAAACGGCTAGGTTGGCTGAACATGAATGTATTCAGTACTTTACGAAAACACTTATTTCAACGAATCGACGCACTGTATAAAAACTATTTGTGTAATATATTTTGAGTTCATCTTTTCATGCAGATTCTATCAAGGATAAAAATCGACTTGTTCCAGGAGATTTCTCATAAATGGATAGTTTTGCTCTAGATGAATTTATTCAGAACTCCACGAAACCACTGTATACAGGGTGTCCGGAAAGGTCATGTCGTAAATGATAGAGCTGATGGAGTAAGCCAAAATAATCTCAGTGCTTCATATACACAAAATGTCTATAGGGAGTAATTTACCTTGAAAGTTCAAATAAAAAATATATACAATTTTTGAACGTGAAATTCGATAATTGGGCAGCTGAATCAATTCATACTGATGCTGTTTTTGATATGTGAACGGCTGTTCAGTGATTACGTTTCATAGAGAATGGGACGAATTTTTTCCGTTTGATGTAGGCATTTTTGACAAAGGGGACATTTTGCTTTCACCGTTTGAATTCCTCCATATCTGTCCTAAAAAAATAGTATACTTGTACCGTTCTGGAGAAAGTCGCAATTTGAAATCATACTTCCCAACCGTTTCAAAGGTTGCAGTCATTGCCATAATTGACATCAAATTATTTCGACAGTATTCTATACATATGTAAAAACTCCACAAACGATGAGATTTCCACGAAATTCCTAATCACACGACATGTTTCGCTAACACAGTAGTTTCATCAGGTGAAATATATACTGGTACAATGAGATAAACTAACCTTGGCTTGCCTAATTTATATATATCTTACTTTACCAGCCTGAAGGATTAGAATTACCTGTGGGAAGGTTCGATAAACTTTCATTTCCGGGAAATGGGAACAATATGTCCATTAAAATAATATTGTATAACGGATTAACTTGAAAGGGCTGATAGCGAATACATATCATTATCTACTATGAAAACAAATCCAACAGAAGTGATCTATTGAGGTCTATTTGATCGTTAAGTTGAATGTTTACTCAACGATCAACTAGACCTCAATAGTTCATCACTGATGAATTTGTTTTCTTCTTGCTATGGATATCCATCAGGTAACGGCCGAGTCAATAAAAAAAAAGAAAGTATTCAATACTTTGGTAACACCATGAAGGAGTTTAGTAATGATTATGGAGTATGCATATGAGTAGCAGAGCAAAGAGAGTACGAAATCACATATGGCGTTACGTGTTGGGGATTTCGAATCACTGATCTGGAATTCCCAACAGGTAAAGCCATATGTGAGTTAAAATTCTGCTTTTTGACAAAATCTCAACAGATAAAGCCCTATATAATTTCGTACGCGCGGCATTTCATAACAGACAGATGTATACAATACCAACTCACAAAGGGGTTTACAAGTTAACATTTTGTCAAGGAGCAGAATTCCAACTCACATATGGATTTACCGGTTGGGAATTCCAGATCAGGTATTTGGAATTCCCAACACACAACGCCCTATATGATTTCGTACTCTCTTTGCTCTACTACTCATATGTAATGACTTACAGAAACCTTTGAGGTCAATAACTCCGTAACGTAGTGCGATAATCATTTTCTTACATGAACTACTAGCATTATTTTGGCTCTATATATATATATCTCTCTATCAATTACGATACAACCTCTCTGGGTACCCTGTATATAAGTCATATAGTCTATCTGCGCCTTATCTGTCCTCGACAAAGCGTAAATTTTTGTGGTGAAACCTCATATATTGTGATCGCTTTTACACCATTATCTAAACATCTCTTTGACACTATTCGTCAAACATCAACCCTTATCGATATTGTTGTGTTCCCCATCTACAAACATAGAACACTCCAATCAAACCACCTGTAATGTAACTCAGTTCGAATCCGGGAATTCTTCCGGCGGAAATTTCCTTACGAATTGCGGAAGCACATATATTACGTCTGGATGATTTTCTCCATTCACCGAAAAGGCTAATATGGCGAATATCAACGTTTGAAATGCAAATATCGAGGAGGATTGTATAATTATCACAATGGAACGACGAGTCTGGAAATTGTGAGTTCATTTGTGTTTTCAATGGCAACGAATATTCAATTTGAATGGTTTGGAGGCATTCGCTTCATGGAAAACTACCAGACCTATACGAATAGGTAGTTTTTTATGAATAAAAGACCAGGAGCACACAACGTGTTTTTTGTGTTTCATTTGTTCACACTCAGCAGAATAAGAACCCCTCAAATTTCACCTTCCACTGTACGGATATAGGTCGCCGAATAAAAAGTGTGGACCAAATAATGGTCTCCGCGTGGGTGAAGTTGTATTTTTTAACCCGGGGTCTCGAATTATTACATACCATTCGGCATATGTCGCATGTTACTGTAATTGAAACAAATGTTTTGGCGGACGGCATTGCTGAAAGTGTAGGGTGGATACAATACGCAGGGGCGCTTTATATTGTTATTAACAATCTTTTTATTGACAGTTGTCATTTGTTTATATTCGACATTTTGTGAAATCAACCAACTATTCACAAATACTCGAGTTGATATGATCGCCGAACATTTTGATTAGATCGGGAGTCAACTACCCCTGCGTACTTTAGTCTTTAGGGTGTAGCGAGTGGGCGATAATCAAACATTAATGTTCGGCATTGATTTTAAATGATTTCTAAATGGAAGGAAGGATGAAAAATATATACCGAATAAGTCCATTGGATATTGACCTTCGTACCTAGTCTTAAAATCCAATTTGCGTTAACAATATCATTTGTTAACGTTCGGCGATGCTGTTTTATGATAATTATTAATATAATAGATGTAATTTTGTAACGCCTCAATGAAATGATCGGAGCTGTTATATGAAAGTGTCGAAGAAAAGATGAAATCGTCGTCATAACAAATTTTCATAACAACAGAATGAACGACGAATGTATTTTCTCTTCGTTAGTTTCATAAAGAAGGTCCAATCATTCTGTTGGGGTTTACATAATAATATCTATTATAAAACAACATCGCTGAACGTTATCACATGATATTGTTGAAGCAAATTGGATTTTAAGACCACAAATAAGCAAAAATAGAGACGAAAATTTCACTATAATATTGAAGTTTCATTTATTTGGTAATAAAATAGTTATATATGCACTACTTTTGACTCGAGAAATGGATCACTAGTGCATGAAATGTCGTATGCATCACGTCCGTAAAATGCGTTAATGGGCTTCAGCCTTCAGCTTGTAATTGCCCTCGGCTGGCTCGCCCAGTCGCCATCTTGAAATTTTCATCCGTCAATTTTACTCCTACTACATACCATCAAGTTCCAATTTTTACAGATGACCCATTCAATGAATGAAATGGAGGAAAATTAAAAAAAAAGACATACAAACAATAGCAATAAGTACTTGCTCTCATATCATGATAAACTTATTGATGACACAGAGCTGTAAGAATACCTATATAAAACCAGATAAACGATAAATATTTGTTCTGTTCTTCCAGGAAGGAAGTCAAGTGGAATTGTATGAAACATGAAATTCCCTCTGAGCACAAAACTAATTGAAAGTCACTCTCGAGAGAATTATTCCAATCGTGGTGAAGTATTTTATTTCGAAATAGTGTATTATCTGATTGTGCTAAACTGAAACTCTAAAGCCTTCGGCATGAGGCAACAGGAATATGACAACTGGAAAAATAATATCTCTGATTGAAAACCAGCAATTACATTTCCTTGCACATGGTTTGATGCAGATATTATTCACTCCACTCAGAATACGGTTCTGTTTTTGCTATTTGAAAGAGAAAACTCTGAAACAATAATTTGAATCAAAGCGGTTGTAACTAATTTTCCCAGCGTCAGCATTGACCTGCCTTCGTCGAGAGTTCCTAGATTCCTGGCAAAAATCGGAATCCTGGAAGAGGACGCAGAATGGAGAGTACTATCAGTATTACCAATGAAAACTACTTTAGTAAACTACTCAAATCTAGACTGGTCAATTGAGATCAAGAATATTCTGAACAATTTCAAAAATTAAATACGATTCACAGATTTGGCAACCCACTTCGGCAGCCATCTGGAGTACGTTATCACATCAGCTGAATATTCGCCCCGAACATTCATCAAGGAAAATACTCGATCTATAATGAATTTTCCGTTATCCAACAGTTTTGGTATGTTTGTGAAATTCTTAATGATAGGTACATGACTGGGTCTTCATAACCCACTAGTCAAAGAAATACAAAAAACTGCTCTTTTCTACAAACGCTTAACAAAGTAGCCTTTGACGCTTTCAAATTCCAGCACAAAGTTGACGTTTTCCCAGAAATGTCATTCTTTGACAGCATTTGCGCTCGTGAGCAGAAATATTGAAAAAACGCTCGCACATCTCTGTAACCTATACTTATCTATTCTTGAAAATCCCCAATTCTTTCATGATGGAAAATAGTGACAGTGAATCATCAAACACACCTCCTGATGATATAGCAGAAAGCGCAAGAGTTTGAATCTCTTATACCGGAGAAATCAAGGAAGAAATACGAATCACAATATGATACATTCATAAATTGGTGCCACTCCGAAATGGTGAATATGTATTCAGGAAACGTTTTACTGGCTCATTTTGGTAAAAAATCGAAGACTTTGAAGTCATCAACTCATTGGTCTATATATTCGATGGTACGTATATACATGCTTGAATGTTAAAGATAATATTGGAATCAATAAGTATCTGAAACTTATCGCATTTCTCAAGAAACAATCTATTGGATATAAAGAGAGAAAAATCCAAAACATTCACCGCTGAATATACCAACAAATTTCTACAAGAAGCTCCCGATAAAGCATATCTGTTGAAAACGATGAATTATACTTTATATTGAAACTCTTTGTTATCATCAGAAAGACAGTGTATCTTTATTTTATTGCATCAATGAGTAATGTTCAATTTGATTGCAGATTTTATCGTACTATGGCTCAGAGGTCTGAAGCTCAGGTTGCCACGCTGGTGGTCCAGTTTCAATTTTCGGTAGGCCCGACATTTTTTTTCTGGCTTGTCAGTTATTTCAAGTTATTATTTTTTATTTCCTCTGGACATATGGGATAATATGGATAAGAACTTTTTCAACTATTTCAATCGCTCATACTTTCAGGGCAGTTATTTCCAAAAACTGCGTTAGTAGAAAAAATCTCGTTTGTATTTCGAGCACAAAGTGTTATTGCCGCTCTCCAAAGATTACCGCGCTCCGCTCCGCATCGCGCGGTAACTTTCTTTGTCGAGCGGCAATCTATCACTTTGCGCTCTAAATACACAAATAGCTATTGTAGCGGAATACCAGTTCATAAATTGCATATGGTGGAAAAATGTACTCACTTTTCTAATCCAACGAAAGCATCAGCATCGATAGAAATGATTTTATTCTCGTACAAGGTGAGAATTTCCAGAGTGTCCAGTCCTTGGAAAGCCTTGGCATGCAAACTGTTGACTTTGTTGTGGTTCATATTAAGAATGAGGAGGTGGTGCAGGCTCTTGAAAGCTGCCGAAGGAACAAGGGTCAGGCTGTTCTGGGACACATCGAGTTGGGTGAGGACTTTACCTAGAAAAAAAGGAGGATTTTCTTTTCAGTAAATCGATAAATATAGGTACCCATAGTTTACAACAAAACAATGAAAATCTGAAAATCATTAGGGCCTACCATAAATAATAATCGTTCAGCTGACAGTGACCAACAAATACAAAGGCGCACGAGAAGGCATACGATGGATAGATATATACAATTAGAGGAAGCAATCGTGACTATTCAATAGGGTTTATTCTCGTTTTTCTTTCGCGCTGATGTTATACAGCTTTTTTTGTTTCAAGTGTTGATAATGAAAATGAACATTTTCGAAAGCTCAACAAGTAAAACTAAGAAATCTAAATGGTATTGGTCACAACGACTGCTTCCTACTGATATTTCCCCGAATATAACCTATAGAACAGTCACGAACGCTACCTACCTCTTATTGAATATAAGGCATGGGGTTTTTTCAACATCGATACAGACTCTAGTGTTAGAAATCTCAAGACATTGACCAAACTCAACATCAAATCAAGGTGCAACAATTAGAAACAAAAGATTATATCTACTGAAATGCAGACAAAACAGAATATTCCCGAATCATGTTAGTATTGGGGTAAGAAACACCAATATGTTATTGGATCATAACACATGAAGACTTGGCCAGCAGGTACAAAACTTCAATCTCAATTTAAATACAGAATTACTACTTTATTCATAAACATATGATTATTTTTTCGCTGATTTTATTTAGTTTTTCACGTTTTAAGTCTTGATAAAGGTAATACACATTTCAAAGATTTAGGAGTTCTTTTTGACCAAAAGTTGACATTCTCCACTCATATGGAAAGTTCAATAGGCAAAGCTATGAAGTCTTTGGGATTTTTGATTCGTACCTGTAAGGAGTTCAAATCATTTTGTGCTTTGCGCAGTATCTATACTTCTCATTGGTGAGAAGTAAATTAGATTACTGCAGTGTCGTATGGAACCCATGTCATTCCAAATATATCGAAGCCATTGAATCAGTGCAGAGAAAGTTTTTAAAATATGCATACTATAAAAAATATGGCGTGTGACCTCTTTTCTCTCGCTGTCTCAATTCAAGCATAGACTATTTAGTGCCTTGAGGGACTAGTTTCACATATCTTAGTTTATATTCTTTTCGAGTTATGTATATATATAGGTATATATTTTTAGCTATCCAACTAATACCCATGTATTATTACATACAACCTGTAAATGGGCGTGAGCCTGCTGGATGTATTAATATTAAATGAATAAATAAATAAATAAATAAATGAACACGTGGTTACGTCAAATTGGAATACACCAAAGAATATATGAACGCAGTTTAGTCCAGTAACTTTGTCGCCTGAACATATGGAGGTAGTATGCGTCAAATCCGGTAGTTCTGATTTTTTGCAGACTTGTTCATGATGTTGGCCTAATGAATGCTCCAAGTTTGTGACCTCGAGCACCGAACGTAACCATGTCAAAAATCAAAAAAACCGCGAAAAAATCGTAATTTTTTCAAATTTTGGCGATTATAACCCTGAAGGACTAGTTTTTGAAAAAAATCTCTCAGGACGTTTTTAAAGTAGATCAAATTTGCTACAATATGATTCAAAAACTGTCTCTGTAGACCCAAGAGTTTTCGAGATTAGGCCTTTCAAAGTTTATAATTTTTTTCGCAGTTTTTTGCAATGTTTTAGGCGTCACTCGAATATACTCTAGCGGGATGAAGTTTCAATTACCTTCGACGGAGTGTGCTAGTACTGTTCGTGTGAAGTCACGAATGCGACCTACCTGTAGCACGTTTTCAAACTTTTTAGGTAATCTAAACCACAGGACATATAATAAGTATTGGTTTTCTCTCAGGTACCTGCTACACATCCTTTGGTTTCTCATGATTGATTCTGTTGTTAGATCCTTTCTCTTGATGGCTGCTATCCACATTTCTCTTCTTATTCTCGATAGATCTTTTATCTGTGGAGTTTTTCACAGAATCACAGTGAGAATGTGAAAAAACTAAGCAAATTTTCCTGATCTGCACGACTTGCACTATCCACCACAATACGCGTTACCCGCATTTTGCCAATAAAATCATATTGAGTTTTCATCATTCACAATAAATCTAACCAAAACTGAACAAAATGGTACTCTTGTGGGCAAAAGACGTCGACGATTCATCACCATCCCCTGATGATATGGATATGCCATCCCAATACGTCGATCCAGATCCAGACGAACCTCAACCGGGACCTTCCAAGAGGACTAAATTAATCTAATTTTTTGATCTTTGATATCACTCTATTTCCTAACAAATAAACTCATTAACTTTTGTTGTATTGTAGATGTTGTGGTGTAGTGAATAGATGTATTAAATTTGAGCTCTTAATAATCAGTTTTCCTTTGAGTACAACCCCATCGATTCATATCGTATTGTTAGAGGTTTTTTATGAATATTCTTGCTCTGTCTGATTTATCCGTTTTTCAGCCAATTTGTAGCTAGAAGTTCTTGTAACTCACCAATGGAGCTAAGAGACGCCTCTTCCACCACTGACAGGCTGCTGTTGTGGATGGTGAGATGGCGTATGTCGAGGCCCAGGAAGACGAACCCGGGCAGCTTCTTGAGGTTGTTGTGGCGCAGCTTGAGGTAGAAGATGACGAAGGGCTTGCCCTTGAGCACTCCCATGGCGTCGCTGATGCGCTGCTGGTCGGTGAACTCGCAAAGCACGTCCAGGCCGTTTTTCTTCACGCTGCAGGAGCACGGGGAGATTTCTCCTCGTGGAGGACATTGCTGTTGCACCTGGAAGAAAGTGACACAAATTTGATGATAACGAAATGATATACATTGTATTTCACGACGAGCTCACACTATCTTTATATCTAGAATCAGTCGGGAGAAATTCATGGTAATGTGCAAACTTATATCTCAGGATACGCTCTCTTCATTCAAAATATTTTCGACAATGCAGTGTTGCCGCTTCAACTAGAAAGTAGTAGCAACATTGATATGTCAAGTAGAACACCCTGTATTTTATCGCATTTTTGTATTCTTACTGGTCTATCGGAAATGATTACAGAGATAAAGGAAGTTCAAAATCGAGATTTTTCAACTTCAGTTGAGTATTTTTACAGGAGTGTTTAATTTCCGAATATTCTCTGGGTCCCAAGTCTACGAATTTTCAGGGACATTTTTTTTAAAAACATATATAGAAATTTGATATTCACTTCCTGAAAAAACTGGCCTTAATATAAGTCAGTGTGTTGCACAAAAATTCATCATTTGAACAACTATGGACTTCCATTGAATGACATCTGATTCCATTCCAATAACCCTGCACATATGGAGTTGAATAAATTCAATATACAATGTATCTTCACTTAATGACCTAATTCATGAAAATCAACAGTCAATATTTCTCTCCATGAATATTATGAACAGCAATGTATTTTGTTGATTACTCTTGTGTAATGTGTAATGTTGAAAGTTTGAAAAACACTCAGAATCATAAGAAAGGTAGGGTCTATATGAGTGCATAACATTAATTTATTCACCAATTAGTATGTGTTCGTTTCTTGAAAATATTCTCATAAATATATATACCTATATTGATAATGTGAAATCAATTCAACATGGAAAAGAACTTATTTTGAGAAATTGTTCCACAAGATTAAGACTCAGAATACCTACCAACCCACAATTTAATTTTTGTATCAGATATCTGAGGTAGATCAATAGGTTAGTATGGAGATGAGCGCGCATTCGCACTCCAATATTACATGGGTGGCAGTTTCCTCCTCCTCATTGCATATTCTGCATATGGGTTCGTCTGTATAGATGCCCATTTGATGCATATGTTCCCTCAAGGGGCAGTGACCGGTTATTAGTCCCGTCACTTGTTTGATCTGACCTCTGTTTAGGCTCAGAATGTCGTTAGTCACTGTTTTGGACAGTGTTCCAACCATCAGTTTACTGTGTCTTTGTCCTGGGACATTGTTCCAGTATGCCTGATGTCTTTCTTGCATCCACCTTGCCAGCCAGCCGCGTATTGAGGTTTTGGGGATACCGAATACAGGTTCCGGTCCCATAAACAACGTCGCAGACCCTTGCCCGGCAAGAGCGTCAGCTGCTTCATTGCCTTCAATTCCCTTATGCCCTGGCACCCATTGGTGGAGTTACTCTATGTCCTATATCCACGTATATTCGAAATCATACGGTAGCTTAATTCAATTGAACATTCTGATTGGTTTGAAATAAAACGAAGAGAATAATCTATCAACTATCAGCTATTCATCGAATTTTTTTTGTCAGAACTGACAAAATGCTAGCAATTAAGCAACCCCAAATAATATCAAAATCATACCCTTTTCAAAATCCTCATCACTGATGCAGGTTAGTCGGATTCCAATTAACTCAGTTTGTTCATTGTTCTCGCTGCCCTTCAGAAACAGTTAGATTAATCATATCATTTATTCAACTCAATGAATTAACTATAAGAACAGCAATGCTGATTTTGTTTGTTTCGTGTTTTGATATATTCTTTTCTCCTTCTGAATGCCATCAATATTACTCCAGTTATGAAATTTCGAGTAATGAAAGAAGTAATTGAAGTGAGTAACTTAGCCCTCGGCACCATAGAGTTCTGTGTTGCACTATAATAAGTTATTACTATTGAATAAGTATAGATCTAGATTGATTCATTGTTCTAAAGAATGTCTCTTCTCGATATTGAGCTCGTAATATTCAATGTTTTTGCAGCGTTGTGATATTTCCATGGGGTGTGACTGGGCAATAGTATGACTCCTTCCAAGTTTAATGTATTCAACCAATCAGCCCTCTGTTGAAAAATATTCTTGTTTCTTTGTCAATTTTCTTGAGATGATGAATCAAACAAATAACTATTGATTGGGACTCTTCCTATTGCTTTCTCAGAACTATGCTATCACCTAAAATGTGACTTTCTGGTAGCCATAGAACGGTTTTTTGGTGCGGAGAATGCGGAGAATGGTATCACAGCTTCATCTTTCGCAAGTGAAATATAACACCACAGCTGAATGTTCATAAATTCTCTTATGTTCGGGTACCCAAATACGATAAGTCAGTCCATTACCATTTACTATCTATTGATTCAAGGATTTTTGGCAGCCAAGATTATAGACTTTTCGAAGCATCCTGGCTGTCAGAAAGAAGGTCTGTACTATGGTCTGTAGACATTTATTCTAAAGGGATTTCCTGAGCACATGTCTACAGCTAGGGTTTTTATATGTATATTAGCAATAACAGGAGTAGATAACACATATACTGCTTGAATAGAAGCAAATGATACTATTAATGGATCATACTACGATGGTAAACACCAAATAGTAGATACGAACAAAATATCAACTAATGCAACTTTACATTATTGTGTGAGCAAAAAAGTACAACTGGAAATCATTATATATACTTCGGGTGTCAACCCGAACTTCTCACAGGAGATTCAAGCTCAATAAACATATCACGTGTACGAATAATAGTCTGAATAGAAACAAATAAAGCTACAATCATGATTTGCTACTATGAGCAGGACTTGTCAAGACTAAGGTTCGGTTTTCTACGAAAAAAATTGAAGAGCTCCCTGATAACCGGAAGATCTGAAAGCTAGCCGGTAGACTTTCATAGGAAAGACGAGGCTAGCAGAAGATCTCTAAATGACATCGAATTCAGACATAATAATTCTGTAAAGATCGCAGTGCAATGGCCAAAAATAGCCATGCAGTCTGATAACATTTAAATCAAGGCTCCCCTTCCTACTCTTGGATGTGTCTGACGGTCAGTGACGATTTTTTATACAATGACTATGAATATATGGTAAGCATGGTGTATAAACTCTATATAGTTGGATTATCTCGAGAATCTTCAGTGGCCCACATTATACTCTCCTGTTTCTGGGTATAAGCAACATCAAATCAGCGTTATCAATCATGGCATAACACATCAGTTTTCACACGAAAAGTGTGTATCTGATTAAATACCTGAATGATTGATTACAGTGTTGACCACACACGTTTTCCGTGTTTGTTTGATAATATATTCAGCACGTTAATGTGAATAATAATAAAATTTCTCATTAACGTGAAACTAAATGTGACAATTATGTTTCTGGATTGTTGACCAACCCATTAATAATGATTGCGGTATCAGTTCGACAAAATGGCTATCGGAAAAACAATTCGTTTTTGTGTGGAGCTGATCGACCATGAAAACGTTTGGAAATGTTGATTAAACAAACTTGATGATGACATGCATATTCATGAATATGATGCGAACAATACTGGCAGGTTGAAAATTTGATTACTCAAAAATAATACAGCTATAATGATGTTTCATATGTATTTATTTCTATCGTCTCTATTATCACATTTTTTGCCGCCATATGAATATGTATGATCTGTTTGCCCCTATTGAAGAAATCAAAGGGAGTTAAAATGATAATCATGAAAGAACTTTTCTGCAGTACTATAATATAGATCCGTTGAGGTGCAATTGTGGACATTCTGCATCAACATCATCTTCTGCCATGAGTTGTTTCCTTTGTTATCATATATCCGGCTAACACTCAGGTTTATCACACTTTTATTAGATAAGAACAGTGAGTGCTAGTGCTGAATGAGCAGTAAGAACTAGCAGGTGTTTCGAAATTCGACTGATTCACAGGTGATAGCCTTCCTGATTTGATTTGTAATGAAATATGGTCGTAAGGTCCTTGAGTGTTCAGTTTTGTGGTACAATGTAGATATTGCAAAATCGAATGGGTTTTCCGGGAAAAGACAAAATGTCCATAAACAAAAATTGAACATACGAGGTGAATGTATCCCTGTATCCCGTAGTCATTGAAATATTGTTCCAAATATTCACGATAAGGAAACTGATGACGATACAAATAACGAGCTGCATTTGAATAAATATGGATTGTTTCATAAATGAGCAACATATAACTTGGAAACAACTCAACGTTTCAATGAACTGACATCATCTGCAGAAACTTGAAACACTATTGAAATAAACTAAATTAATAGGAACAAAAATGATAATACGAACAGATTATCAACATGACATTGAAGCATGATAGAATTGATTTCGGTCTTATTACTCTCTGCCCTAGAATTCATCAACAAAGCCTCGAAAAACAAACAATTCTGTAACTCAATGATCTTTCAAATTGTCAGAAACAACTTTTCAATGCAAATTTTCCTGACATAAATGTTGAATACAGCAGGTGAATCCGATTGATGAAAAATAATCGTTTACAAATTCAGATCGGTTAGAAGGATGATGTAACTAATTAGTCATTGAGATGGCGAATCAAACATTAGGCTATACACCACTCAGTCTCATATCAGAAATCATCGCGCACAGTCGATAAAAGTGGTTTGAAAAAGAACCCATCATTTACAAGTGATAAATCATAATTCCTTCTCCATTTTCGTGATTATATATCGATAGTGTGTATGATCAGCGACTGCTACACTACTGGATTTTCGGCAACGCTGGTCCTACTAGTGACTAAATATGAATAATTTCGTTTGATGATACCATCACATAATGAAATTTTTAGTGAGAATATGTGGACAAGAGACAGAGAGAAAACAGAGTTAAGCTTTCCGAAAATTGATAGTAAGATATGATGACTATCAGTTTTTCTGCAATACCGTCTGAATGCATTGAAATATCAAATTCCAATTACATACAGTGTCATTCATAAAGTCTTTATCATACGGGGACAACTTTCGTTAATAATTCATTCCGAAATTCGACCTGAGCGTTAAGTTTTGCTTGGAAAAGTATGTAGAATTGTCTACTCGATCGAGGTCACGTGATTTTCGCTACATGTCAAGTTACATTTCTTCAAATTATTCGCTGAAAATGAGCTTATATAATTGAGATTCGAAAAATATCGCGAAGAAAAGTTGTTTCTATCGCAATGTTTGATATTTTTCTCGAATTTGAACGTTCTATTACAACTTTTAGTTTTTGATGTCTTTCCAAATCCCGAATTGGCTCTAACTTGAGCCACATTCTGCTCAGGATGGTTCATTGTATTCTCCTACCTTGATATTATTAACTATTATTACTGACAACTACGAAATAGCCACAATGCTCAAAGTGGAATGATATGTTAAATATTATATATATATTTAACATATCATTCCACTTTGAGCATTGTGGCTATTTCGTAGTTGAAATTACAGCAGTCGGGCAACCAGTCACTCCCGTATGAGAATTTCAGTTTTGGAGTAATTCTTTCCTCTATTCTACTCAGATGGCGTTACTTTCATTCTGTCGATGAAAGACGCCTCGGGGTGGATAAAATGCCAAATTGATTTTTGTTTGGCTAGGCTTCGCTGAGTCGGCGGTCTGGAGACTACACTGCACTGATGAGAGTCAAAGAGCTCGAAACCGGTCTGTGGTTGTCTAGCGGCCTGCTTAATCGAAATCAATAGGCATTCAGGAAAGAATCACTTGTATCAGTATTCGTTTATACGAGTCGATGCATAGATTTCGGGAGGATGTAATTCAATATCTTGCGTGGCATTAGCCAGGGAAGTAGTTGTTTTTCTCCCGAAATCTACCATTGTTGTTCAGTTTATGAACACGGTGTGGATATGACTTTGAGCTTTTTGCATTTATTTATTATTACTGACCTCGCATGTGGCCAGAGCGCACAATCCAGCCAACACTGCCCAAGTCCATCTGACCATCCGCACTCTGGCCATACTACCGTCCACCCGTGCCTGTGCCTTTGCCGGCTATGCCATCACCGCCTTCTTGCATGTAATCTGAAAAAAAAAATGATCATCATACAGGCTGCTATCGAAATGAATACATTGGATGGCCAGCGTAGCCTCGTGGTTGAAGCGTCAATGTTCTATCCACGTTGGATTGCCGGTAGTGGGTTCGATTCCCACCACGACCGCAGAAATGGTTCTGATGGCCTAAGAAAGTGTTTGGGATCACACGTTGAAAGGTGAGACCCCCGTCATTTCTTGCTCGCACAAGTCTCTTGAAGACTTCTGAGGGTTGCTCGTAAGGGGGCAACCGTATGATGGATAAGAACAATTATAGAACAACAACAATTTTAGAACAATTTTTAAGAAGACTCAACATGTACTATCGAATGGCACCATTGAAAATCATATAGCAACCAATTCCCAAGAAGAAATGAAGAGCCTGCCCAACAACTATTGACCAATTGCTCTGTAATCAGTCTTTTCCGAAGTGATGGAGAAAGCCATCAACATTGAGCTTGTTGGTTTTGCCATGAAATGGAAGTATATTGTTCTACTTAGTTCAAAAGTGCCACTTCGTTTGACAGGCGAATTTTGCATTTGCGAAGCCGATAAGACATTATCAACAATAACTTCGTTAACCCACGTTGTTTGGTTCCTCTTTTATTTCGTAGGTAAGTTTATAAGGATTCTCACTCACTCACTCATTCACTCAATTCTAACTTGATGATGACACTGTTACACTCTACAGGGTATTTCATATTTCATGAAAAAAATACGCTACAGTCGCTACACCCGGTATTCATAAAAAAAGGTTTATGCGAATACATCAGTTTGTACGCCAATATTCAGGAGAATATGAACTGTAATTCGAAACAGAAAACGTCCAAATCGGATGAGTAACTTATCCAGAATGTCATACTTTTGAATACTTTTTGGTTGGTGCGTTAGTTTCTTGTAAAAGTGTATGTACTCATCTCAGAATTTCTCTAGTTGAAATACATGAATGAAAATCTGATACATGAGTCAAGACATACTAATAAACACTAAGGACAAAACACAGATGTGTCTATTTTTACAACTTATATTAAATACACACAAATACACACATAGTCATCATTTAACGAAACATAGATATACATACTTGGGAATATAAACATTTATATTTTTGCACATACTTTGCAGCAAACATAGCGAGCATGTTCTGGTTCAAACTTGCAAAGGAAAACACCTGATATGTTCAGTGAACTCATAAACTGAATCAAAACAATGTTGCAGAAAAAAATTTTAATTTTTTTTCTTGAATAAAATTGGATTGTTGGTAACATAAAGATCGTAGTCCAAAGAATTCTTCTGGGAAACAGAAAGCCGGTATTTTGGTGACCTAAAGAAATTTGCTTGTCTTGAATTGTAGCCATGTATTCGAGATTGTCTAGTCAACACACTTCCCCACTTGATTGTTTATATATTTCTCCCAGAGAAAGCTCGATATATATTGACGAAAACGGTAGTATTTTGAATTGAAGAGAGGGCGACAGTGTTCTCTGAAACCACAGTTTGCCGAAATTCTCAGAGCTTTTTTTGTTGTCGAAATTTTTTTACAGATTTAGAGCAGTCGCCCTAAATACCAACGCAATATGTTATATGCGCATGAGATAATGCAAAATACGTACCTTTCAGAGTTCCTATATTGACGTAGGATTTGAGCTGACGAAGTAGAAACAAAGTGCTCGATTGTTTTTGCTTCAGTTGCTCGATATGATGGTTCCAGTTTAGTCTGTCATCAATTATCAAACCCAGCAGCTAAACGCACTTCTCATCGAGTACAGAAGGGTTGGTCGAAAAAGTTATATTTAGGGTTTTATTATCATTTAGCTGTGATCTGTTTACTTGGTATCCGTGCTGTTCTCTTTGTTGAATATCTAGGGACAGAGTTTCTAATTGTACAAGGTCATCGTGAGAACAAATCAACGTTGTATTGTCAGCAAAAAGAGTATACTTACTGGGCAATAAGAATTGATGTAGAGCGTTTTTATATATTATAAGAAGTAGAGGGCCAAGTACCGAACCTTGTGGTACTCCATGAAAAATATATTTCATCTCAGATGTAACATTTTTTCTTCTACAACTTGGGAACGATTTTTCAGATATGAATTTATGAGATGTTGGGATACCCCCCTTACTCCATAATAATTCAATTTTTCAGAATAATGTCATGAGAGACACAGTCGAAAGCCTTGAACAGGTCGCACAACAACACAGATGTGTGAAGGCCTCCATCCAAAGCCTCGACAATGTCACTCACAACATTCATCACTGCTCGAGATGTTGAACAGTCGTTTCTAAAACCATATTGTGATTTATGGAAAAATCCAGTTAATTCGAAGTAATTCGCCAATCTTGTCTCAATCAATTTCTCCAGGATTTTGGAAGAAACACAAATTATAGAAATTGGTCTAAAGTTGTCCACCAAAGTTATGTCACCTCTTTCATGAAGAGGTATAACTTTGGTGCCTTTCAATACATCAGGAAAAACACCTGTCGAAAACATCAAATTAATGAATTCGATTGATATTGGCATGATAATGTACATGGTATCTTTGACAATCTTTTTGTTCAAACTATACACATCCCTGCAATTCAAGTTTTCCAAGGATTTAACGGTGTCAAGAACTTCCTGAGGGGTTACTGGGACGAAAAAGAAAGAGTTGGAAACCTTTTGAAATTCAGTAACACTGTGTTTGTTATTACTGGAAGATATGTGTTACAACATTCAGCTTCACCTGAGGATGAGAGATGCAAAATGTCCCAAAGGCTCACTCTCTGGATTGTTTTCATTTGAAAAACTCATACTAAATTTGCAATGAATATTATCTTCATGATTTACTCATTTCATCCCAGAGACCATCTTCGCCTCAGGAAAATAATTATATCCGTCCAATTCCGTTGAGCTCTATTTTGTTTGGGAAATACACAATTCCGTAGACCACTTTTTCATTGAAATTTATCACCATGGCCATCGCAAAAAGAACGCTTCCATTTATTTTGTTCTCGAAGAAGATGCTCTACAACTCGTATATTTGTTTAGAAAGAAATAAAGGAATTGCTATCCCGCAGAACAGATTCCGATGTCATAATTTTATTTGAAAACTTCAATGAATACACAGTGGCTCAGAGATGTTTCCCAATTCTAATAATACGGTATCTTGCAGGCCATATCCCACTAATAGACGTGATTTCGCCCAGTATGCCTTGGATGGTATCATTATGTATATATTCTGATGTTGAAAAATGATACATGAAAGAATCCTTCTGCGTTCTCCATGCATTAAATAAAGCATGTTTTCAAGGTTTAGGTACTTGGACATGCACAAACGGTATGCCATTTTTTCCGTAACATATCATGGACATCTCACGTAATGACGTATCTTATAAAAATCGGAATTTGAGATACTTCGTCAAGTGCCTTTTATTCTTGTACTCTATGATCTCACAAAGCGGCGTAGCTCAATGTTCAATGGTTTTCGTGTAATTATTGGACTATCAAATCTCACAAAGTGACCTAACTATAGGAGTTACGTCAGTACGTGAGATATATTTTTATCATTTGTTGAAAATATCAACAGTGACGTAAGTATCTCAGATCGGGTTTGCCGCAGATATTAAAATATCTCTGGTGACGTCTCAAGGTACTGAAAGGTATATTGTGAAGTAATGTACGAGTCGAAAGAATTTCTGTGTTTCTATCAATAAAAATGAATATTTCGATCTGTTATTCATTTGGAATCATTTTATACTCATGGGCGTATTTAAGGCCGCATTAACAAACATGATCTCACGTAGTGACGTATCTTACAAACATATTCATTTTTCGGTTTCGTTGATGCTTTTTCGAAATCTCACCATATCATAACAACTAATTCTAGTTCATTCACTGATGAGTGAAAAAACAAAGACCTTGCATGAACAAATCTCTGCGGTAAAATTAAGAAAACAGAGATACGTCCCTACGTGGAATGACAGTCGATATATAGCACAAACATACGTATATTCATTGAAGGTAGCCTGTTTTAAAGCGAGGAAAATGATGTTTTTAAATTGAAACTACACCTGACTGATGTATTTTCAACTTCGTACATCACTTATATTTCATTTTGGAACACAGGCAGCTAGAGTGAAATCGTATCCAGAAGCTTAATTTGCGAACAAATAATGTTAATTAACTTCCATGCTTAAAGAACCCAGGAGGCAAGCACATGTATCATATTTCAACATCAAAATATATACATAATGATACCCTCCAAAATGGAGGAATGTCACGTCCAGAAAACTGTTACTCCCTGCCGGTCTATAAGGTTTGAGACATACCAAACAAAAACATTTTTATATGTCTTTTCAACAAACAGTTTTATGCATGGAATTGTATTTCTTAGATACTAACTACAATATTGAAGCGATAATGCTGTGGAAATTCCATACCAGTAATGTTTACCTGACCAAAGTTGGTTTCTTTTTATTATACATATCACCGTAGCAACTTATGTATTTTAGTTGAAATTTTTTTCTCGTGGGTACCCACCAGCGAAATAAATCGGGAAGTTTTTTCAAAGGAAGGAAGGAATGCTAGAAGTATTCTCCACGTATTTTATTAGTGTTGTTACACAATCAGAACGAACATGTTTTGGTCTTATAAAAGACCGTCTTCAGTCATATTGGAAGTTCTACAATACAAAAAGATCGACGTGAAAGAGTTACATAATTTGTTCTTGACTTACTTGGAGTTGGAAAAATGTGATTCTACTAGTTGTGAAATTGTTGTCATTTTCCATAGTCGAATAAATCGAGTTTATAAATGAAAAAACGGGTTTCCAATGAATAAAGGGCCCCGTGCCTTGAGAGCGTATACAGTTCATCTTATCGAAATTTCATATACCAAAATGGTATATAAAGGATGATTTCCAAATGGTTTTGTTATTCTGACAACACCA